GGGGGTGGGGCGGGGGGAGAGCACAGGGAGTGGGGTCATGGGGTGCTGGGCCTCGCTGGTGCTCAGCACATAATATCTATTGTCAGGTTTGCTCTTCATGCAGTGCAGGATGTGGCTGTGTGTCCCCACCCTGGGATGCTGGGGACCTCACCCCACTTCTGCCAGGCCTGCTGAGCAGGTGAGGGTGGGGCAGCATAGGGAAGTGGGAGGGAGAGAGACAGGAATGAAACTATATATTTATGTCATTTCCCACATTACAGGGGCTGAAGCAGTGTGTGTGTGTGTGTGTGTGTGTGTGTTGGGGTGGGGCGTGCCCTGCCCCCAGCATCCTGCTCATGAAGAGGCCAGAGGGGCTGTCTATGGGGAGAGGCAGAAGGGTCCTCCCAGGGTGCCCACCAGCAGAGGAATTATGAGGAGCAGAGCCAGGAAGTGCGGTGCCAGGGGAGGCGCGGTGGCCGAAGCGATGGTGAAGGGCTGGGTCACGGAGCCCCCGTTGCACAGGGGCCCCTCACAGCAGAAGCCCTGGAGGTCGATGTCTGTCCAGGGGCTGGTGGTGCCCAAGATGGTGCAGGAGGGCCGGTGGCAGGTTCTGATGTACACAGGGACTGAGAAATTGTCTGGGGGAGGCGTGGGGGGGAGCGGGGAAATGGCAGTGAGGAGGGGTCAGAACTGAGCCAGGACCACAAGTGGGTCCACAAACTTATTCCCAGTCTCCCTCCTTAGACCGGGCCACGCCTCCCTCCTCAGACCAGGGCCCCGCCTCCCTCCTTAGGCCAGGGCCCCGCCTCCCTCCTTAGGCCAGGGCCCCGCCTCCCTCCTTAGGCCAGGGCCCCGCCTCCCTCCTTAGGCCAGGGCCCCGCCTCCCTCCTTAGGCCAGGGCCCCGCCTCCCTCCTTAGGCCAGGGCCCCGCCTCCCTCCTTAGGCCAGGGCCCCGCCTCCCTCCTTAGGCCAGGGCCCCGCCTCCCTCCTTAGGCCAGGGCCCCGCCTCCCTCCTTAGGCCAGGGCCCCGCCTCCCTCCTTAGGCCAGGGCCCCGCCTCCCTCCTTAGGCCAGGGCCCCGCCTCCCTCCTTAGGCCAGGGCCCCGCCTCCCTCCTTAGGCCAGGGCCCCGCCTCCCTCCTTAGGCCGGGCCACGCCTCCCTCCTTAGACCAGGGCCACGCCTTCCTCCTCAGGCCAGGGCCACGCCTCCCTCCTTAGACCAGGGCCACGCCTTCTTCCTCAGGCCAGGGCCACGCCTCCCTCCTCAGACCAAGGCCACGCCTCCCTCCTTAGACCAGGGCCACGCCTCCCTCCACCAGGCGCCTTCTCCCTTAGGGCCCTGCCTCCCGGTCTGGCTGCCGGCGCCTCTACCCTCCGGCCTGCCCTGCCTCCAGCCCCCTACCCGCCCAGCCTCTCACCAACGCTCATTTCGCCATTGCCCTGGAAGCAGACGCTTTGGTCCTGGTGGCACTGGACCCGTCGGGACTTCCTCGGGGTGCAGTCCTCCGGGCGGGTGCCCAAGCAGGCGTAGCACTCAGTGCCGCTGAGCGTGGGCGGGTTGGGCGCTGGA